GACTTCCGCAGGCACAAGCATTCTCCACTGCAACCACTGAACATCCAAGGTATGGACATTGAGGCTGTGGACAGCTACAGGTACCTTGGTGTTCATCTGAACAATAGACTGGACTGGACTCATAACTCAGACGCCCTCTACAGGAAAGGGCAGAGCAGGCTGTACCTGCTGCGGAGACTCAGGTCGTTTGGAGTGGAGGGCCCACTCCTGAAGACCTTCTATGACTCTGTTGTGGCTTCTGCTATCTTTTATGGCGTGGTCTGCTGGGGCGGCAGCATCTCTGCTGGGGACAGGAAGAGACTGAACAGGGTGATCCGAAGGGCCAGCTCTGTTCTAGGATGCCCTCTGGACCCAGTGGAGGTGGTGAGTGACAGGAGAACGGCGGCTAAGCTGTCATCCCTGTTGGACAACATCTCCCACCCCATGCAGCAGACTGTGACAGCACTGAGCAGCTCCTTCAGTGGGAGACTGCGGCACCCACGGTGTGGGACGGAGAGATTTCGCAGGTCTTTCCTCCCCACTGCTGTCAGACTCCATAATAAAGACTTTAACTGATCAAGCACACACATCCATACATATGCAATAATACTAAGTGCAATAATCCTTCTGTCATCGTTGTATTTTTACTCAGTTGTATATAGTATTTGTATTTGTATTCTATTTTTATCTTATTGTATATTTATTTTATTTTATTCTACTGTATATAGTATTTTATTTTATTCTATTCTGTACAGTTGTGTACTGTATTTATTCTTATTGTATTCTAATTTTTGCCTCATAACTTTTGCACTGTCCACTTCCTGCTGTGACAAAACAAATTTCCCACGTGTGGGACTAATAAAGGTTATCTTATCTTATCTTATCACCCTGGTTTGGAAGAATTGCTCTTGATGAGATTCCTGCTTGATTGTACTTGACAGACATTCTGTAACAGATTTGAGTTCCACTGCAGCCCTTACAATTTATTGGTAGGGGATGGAAGAAACACAAAAAGAACCTGAAGACTATGGCAGCAGTGGGATTCGAACCCACGCCTCTGAAGAGACTGGAGCCTAAATCCAGCACCTTAGACCGCTCGGTCATGCTACCATTGCGAGTGAGGACCTCATCGCAAAAATCTAGACAGTAAAACTTGAAAAAGTGCAGCACAAAATAGGAGCTCAGAACATTCAGTGATGCTCTTGTTGTTGTAGAAAAACATGTTTAATACTTTTTGGACACAAAAACATCTGCCTGTCCTGGTTAAAACCTGTTCATCAACCCTGATTAACAATGGGCTCTTGGCTCAGTTTCATCATTGTCCATATGCAACTTGTCATAAGCACTGATCAACAGGCAGGATCACCATTCACAGAGAGTCAAGGAAGGGTTCCAATCACAGCATTGTAAGATGGCAAGAGACGTACCCTTAATGCACCCACCCTTGTTTCAAAGAAGCTCATTTGATTTTCACATAAACAGCCACCTTGACTCGCCGCTCATAATTGCAGGCCTGCTTGTGTACATCCTCATCACTGAAGACTGTACAGTCCCGGTCTGAACCGTTATGCCATGTGCTTAGCCTTACCTGATGTTTGCCTTCAGCCAACAACTTTGCCCTATGTAATCCATCGTGGGATTAACACAAAGAACACATTGGCTTGTGGGCACATTAAAGACATGTTCCCATACCGGGAGTTGAACCCGGGTCGCCTGGGTGAAAACCAGGAATCCTAACCGCTAGACCATATGGGATTGGTTTGGTAATGCGCCACTGTCGTGCTCGTGCTGCTGGGTTAGAACCAGGCATTCTAGCCGCTAGACCATATGGGACTGCTCCACTGTCATGAAATCAAGGATACTCTTGTCACTCTGCAGCCTTGGTGAGACCAACATAGCAGCACCTTAATCAATTCTCCAGCAGTTGCAGGTTCTGCTCAAAAGCACATTACAAGGGAGTGGACTGGACTTGAAGCACACTTGAATGGCATGTGGGAAAGTCCACTAACCAGTCAGTGATGAGACCATGAACAAAAAGCCATGAAAAACATGCAAGTTGTAAATGACTTTACAGCAAGTGCCTAATGTGGTTTGGAAGAATTGCTCCTGATGGGTTTCCTGCATGTTTGGACTTGACAGACATTCTATAACAGATTTGATTTCCACTGCAGCCCTTACAATTTATTGGTAAGGCATGGAAGAAACAAAACTTTGCCGCTAGAACACTATGGCAGCAGTGGGATTCGAACTCACGCCTCCTAAGAGACTGGAGCCTTAATCCAGCACCTTAGACCGCTCGGTCATGCTACCATTGCGAGTAAGGACCTCATCGCAAAAATCTAGATAGTAAAACTTGAAAAAGTGCAGCACAAAATAGAAGCCCAGAACATTCAGTGATGCTCTTGCTGTTTCAGAAAAACATGTTTAATACTTGCCTGAATGTTTTTGGATACAATAGCATCTGCCTGCCCTGGTTAAACTCTTATTGCAGCAATAGGATTTCAACCCACATGTGTGAGGAGCCTGGAGTCTTAACCCAGATCCTTAGACCACACAATCTAACACCTTACAATGCGGTGGACTTGAAGCACACTTGAGTAGCCACTAACCAGTCAGTGTTGACACTGTGAATAAAAATATATGAAACACCTGCACATTGTAAATGACTTTTGCAAAAGAATTTCTTTTATTCATGTATTAATCGCATTATTATAAAAACAAACAATATCCTGCTCACTCTTCTGTTAATCTTCTTCTCCACTGATGCCTTACAAAAGCCGAAGCTATTGTTGCCTATCTGTACTTCAACATCATTAGTGAAAGGTCAAAATGACTGACCATGAGAGACGTGAGACCGTCTCTGGAAGGCTCTGATTCTTCTATTGAAGTTGGACTTGAAGTGGATTGGACTTGAGAGTTTTATTTCTTGAACATCTGTAAATTGTATTCAACAGATATTAACTGAAATGGAACTAGGGCAAGAGCATAGTCTCATGTAACACACACTCGTGTTACATTTGTACCACAAGGTAACCAAGTAAGTTATTACAAAGATATTCCTATTTACAACGATGGGCTAGGGAAAGGTAGTAATGAGAGTATTTAAAAAGAAGTATCAAAAGTTAACCCTGTATTCCTGAGAATTCTTTTAGAATGTTTCGAATTCACAAGAGCTATTTTAGGATTTTTGAGAGTTCTATTAGAATGTTCCAGATTCCTGAGAATCCTTTTAGGATGTTCCAAATTCCTCCAAATAATTCTCAATGACACATTGCAACACCAAGTTTTATTATAGTCACACATTGCAATAGAGTTTTCTGGGTAATTGACCAAGTCTGGTGGCATTACCTCCAAAGCTTATAGAAGTTTCTGCTAACAGCAGCTACATTGTCAGGAACAGCACCTACCAACAGATATCCTCAACAGCTCACCTCACTATCATAACCGAGCAATATTATTGTCAAATGTTGATGTTATTCACCTACAAAAACTCCTGGCTGTCCGTTGCTGTCATGGGGTGCGGAGGGTTAAATAGCAGCGCACATCTGAAAATAGCTTAACATACTCATGGTCCCTTTGTGGTTGTATAATACCTTGGTGCCACTGGATTTCAGCATGTCTCTCACACTCATACTGGTAACAGATGGTATCTCAGGATGTTTGAGGGAAGCATTCACACATAAAGGACCCAGAGTGGGGGGAGGAGTCTTTTGTCTCCTTCTCCACTGTAAGAGGTAGCAAGGGAGTGTGAAACTTTCTTTGGGGGTGGGGGTACCAAAGGTGTGAAAACAGCTGTGTACTGCCTTTAGTTCCTGTAAGAGGTATGTAACTGAAGGCCATGCTAGACTCAGTTAGGGACTCTGCCCATCGTCTGCCCCGCAATGATGCATTCCTTCACCAAGCTTGGATTCTGTTCTTGTTATTATTAAAGAATGTTAGCTACCACTGACCGCTTGTCTGGAGGCTTTATTGAATGGAAAACTTGCACAACACCTAACATCACCCTGGTTTGGAAGAATTGCTCTTGATGAGATTCCTGCTTGACTGTACTTGACAGACATTCTGTAACAGATTTGAGTTCCACTGCAGCCCTTACAATTTATTGGTAGGGGATGGAAGAAACACGAAAAGAACCTGAAGACTATGGCAACAGTGGGATTCGAACCCACGCCTCCGAAGAGACTGGAGCCTAAAACCAGCACCTTAGACCACTCGGTCATGCTACCATTGCGAGTGAGGACCTCATCGCAAAAATCTAGACAGTAAAACTTGAAAAAGTGCAGCACAAAATAGAAGCTCAGAACATTCAGTGATGCTCTTGCTGTTGTAGAAAAACATGTTTAATACTTTTTGGACACAAAAACATCTGCCTGTCCTGGTTAAAACCTGTTCATCAACCCTGATTAACAATGGGCTCTTGGCTCAGTTTCATCATTGTCCATATGCAACTTGTCATAAGCACTGATCAACAGGCAGGATCACCATTCACAGAGAGTCAAGGAAGGGCTCCAATCACAGCATTGTAAGATGGCAAAAGACTTACCCTTAATGCACCCACCCTTGTTTCAAAGAAGCTCATTTGATTTTCACATAAACAGCCACCTTGACTCTACTGATTCCATCTATTTTGGGAACCCGTAGTCTGAGATATTGATGATATGGTACTGTAATGTCTTTAGATGAGATGGAGTCTGATTATTGAAGATGTGAAGAGAATAAATTTTCAGCGAGCCAATTAAGAGAAGTCAGGATTGGAGAATTGGCCATCTTTTCTTTAGTCTGTACCATTATTACTGCAAATAAATTTGACCAACATAAACAGAAAACAAAAATCAACATAGGAAAATAAAGCAATACTCAACTAAAGCCCACATGAGGAAAAAAGCCTCCTGGGAGGGGTCACTTTGTCAAGCCTCTTGGTTGCCCAAAACAAAGCGTAACCTGATACACTCCATTTCTCCTCTCACAGTGAAACAGTTTTTCAATTACCTTGACATACAAAAACACTCCAAGGACAAACAATGAATCACGAAAAACTCTGCTGTTCAGTCTGTCTGGATCTACTGAAGGATCCAGTGACTATTTCTTGTGGACACAACTACTGTATGAGCTGTATTAAAGTCCACTGGAATAAAGAGGAACCAAAAGGAATCTACAGCTGTCCTCAGTGCAGAAAAATCTTCATCCCGAGGCCTGCTCTTGTGAAAAACAGCATGTTAGCAGAGTTAGTAGAGGACTCTAAGATACCTGGAATCCAACCTGTTTCAGCTGATCTCTGCTATGCTGGACCTGAAGATGTTTCCTGTGATGTCTGCACTGAAAAGAAGCTGAAAGCAGTGAAGTCCTGTCTGGTATGTTTGGTTTCTTACTGTGAGCAACACCTCCAGCCTCACTATAACTCTGCCTTTGACAAACACAAGCTGGTCAAACCATCGAACAGGCTCAAAGGGAACATCTGTTCAACTCATAATGAGATGATGAAGATGTTCTGCCGTACTGATCAAAAATGTATCTGCTATCTCTGCTGTGTGAATGAACATAAACGCCACAACACAATTGAAATGCAAAAAGAATTTGAGGTGATTTTGCAAATTGTTCACCGGAGAATTCAGACCAAAGAAACAGAAGTGAACGTGCTTGGGAAGGAAATCGAGGACATTCTGCAATCTTCTGATAGCGCTGAGAAGGACATTGAGACAATCATCAATGAGCTGGTGAGTTTCATTAAAAAGAAAGGCTCAATCTAATGCTTCTTGGCGACAATTCACTCCCTGGTGGAGATTTATCAGCCCTAGGATCAGGAACACAATTAAAATCACCTCCCAACACCAAATATGGGGAAGCTATGGCTGAAACATGGGTTAAGAGATTGGGGAAAAAAGAGACATCTTCTGAATTTGGACCATAAACACATCCTATAAAAACAGATTCTCTAAATAAGAAACCAGATATAAGAATGTAGCGTCCTTCCTTATCTTTTATGACTTTTTCTGTGGTTAGAGGCAAATTGCTATGGATAAGGATGGCTACTCCTCTGCTTTTTGTGTTATATGATGAGTAAAAAACTTGGCCAACCCAATTTCTTTTTAGTTTTGAGTGTTCCAAATCATTTAAATGAGTTTCTGAAAGTAAGGCAATTTGTATTTTTTCCTTTTTCAAGAATGAAAGAAGTTTTTGTCTTTTAACAACATTATTCAGCCCTTTAACATTTAAAGAAATTATTTTAAGGTCAGTCATATCAGCTCAGTCTCTTTTGTTATAGTTTCTTTCCCCCCTCTATTAAAACATGATGTGTGGGAAACCATTTCTCGGAATGCGCAACTGCAAATAAGCAAACAGATGTTTCCATAAAAGGGAAAGGTAATTTTAGATACATTATATAGACACAAACATGAAAAAATAAATGAATAAATAAACAACAGAAACAATCGCCACGCATATTAATGATAAAAAAAAAAAAAGGAGAACGACAACCCCTAAAACCCCCCTTCCCTCCCCCCAAAAAACGATCCTACAGTCCATCAAAAAAGAAAACTTGGTCTCATGAAACCGAGCAAAAGTCACTGACAGGGAGGCAAAAAGGGAAAAAAAAGAAACAAAACTTCCTCTCCAAACTCCCGCATGCCACCGAGAGAACCAGCCAATCTCATTTATATTTCTGAGTTAAACATGTTTTACTTTATAAAGTTTGTAAGAAAAAACAAATAAGAAGGGACGGGACAGTTAAATCATTCCTTAATAAGAGTACAACTTCCAGTTCCAATATACCTTAACATGGACTGGGTATCCTTAAATTAAGAGTATGTCTAATATTTAAGTGCCGTAATAGAACTGATCATATTCAATCAATTGCTGTCGGTGTTCAATTTAACTCAAATTGTTCAAAAAAGCAAGAGCATCTTCAGATTTACGGAAGGAGTAATTTTCCCCTCCGTGAGAAAAGTTAAGTGTAGCAGGATAGCGCATATAAAAGCGCATATTTTTCTGGATTAGTTTTTGGCACACTCCGTTAAACGCACGTCGCATCTCTTTTACTCCTGTTGCCAAATCTTGTCGAATATGAATGATCTGTCCATCATAAGTCAGGGGGCCATTATCTTTAGCTGCAGTGAGGATCCTAATCTTGTCTACCGGATTATGCACCTTAATAATCATTGCACGAGGGTGATTAGGTCTTGATAATCCAATGGACCGATGGGCTCTGTCGATTTTGATTTTCCCCTGTTTTTAATGTAAATGACCCCTGTCAGAGTGTAATGACCTAATAGTTGTGCGAATTTAGAATTTTAAGTGACTGTCCTATTCTGCTCTGGGGAACAGGGCAGTGGCGACGTGATAGCAACTTCCTGAACTCAGTTGGTTACTCGTATGATTAATGTCTTTTCCTGTCATCTACTTAATCACTTACTGAATAAATACTGTATATATAAACAAATACAAAAACATAAACACTTTGCTACCTATGTAAAGAAATCGAAATAATAAAGATGACTAATTATGCATAATACATAGAGTACTATATTTATTGTGTGTTCACTTCATGAATTTGGTGACTGCTGCTGTAGAAAAAGCTCCAAAAGACCACGGATTTTGGCAGGACCCAGAAAGCAATGTTACACAACAGATCATAAGTAAGTGTGTTTATTTTTCAACAAAAGGAAAGAGGCATGTAGAGCCAGGATCAGGGCAGTCATAACATATTTAACAAGCAAATAGGGATTGTTTGTAAAGAAGGAGGGGGAAAAAATTAGTCAGAACAGGAATGGCAGGGAGAACATAAATTGCGAGACGAAATCCGGGGAGTTGGTCAGTGGTCACCGATCGATGATCAGTGGTCACTGATTAAAAGTCTTTGATCTGTGGTTGTTGATCAATGGTCATGACAATTTGAATATTAACAAGAAACTGACCTCACAGGCCATTGTTCACCAGTGGTGCTAGTTTCAGTCATTGTGCAAAGGTACTGTTTATAAAGTTGGGGAAACCTGCAGTCAGGTGAGACTGAAAAAATCACATGTATGATTTTTCCAAGCCCGGCTCGAGCTCCGGCTTGGACAGTCTCGGTCGTTGTGTCCTTGGGCAAGACTCTTCACCCGTTGCCTACTGGTGGTGGTCAGAGGGCCCGGTGGCGCCAGTGTCTGGCAGCCTCGCCTCTATCAGTGTGCCCCAGGGTGGCTGTGGCTAGAATGTAGCTTGCCATCACCAGTGTGTGAATGTGTGCATGGATGACTGGATGTAAAGTGCTTTGGGGTCCTTAGGGACAAGTAAAGCGCTATATAAATACAGGCCATTTACCATTTACCATTATTTCTCAACTGAGAGGAGGTGACCTTCTGAAATCCCATGATTTCCTTAAACACAGTGTAACCCAGTACATATCACCTTCTCCTCTCACAGTGATAATGTTTGGCATGCATTTTGCAGACAAAAATTGACACCCAGGCTACAAAATGGATCAAGAGAAACTCTGCAAATCAAATCCCAGCAGAAAAATGAAAGGTGTCGAGTTATAATGCTTCAGAAGAAGCTGGAGTAGGAGGTCTCTGAGCTGAAGAAGACGGACAAGGAGCTAAAGCAGCAACATGGAATTTCTACTCAGCTACTCCCTGCTTTTCAAACTTAACAATTATACAGACTCACCAAACTTCAAAATGTGTCCAGTTAAACACTCTGAAAATCTGAAAACAGCAGCGCTAGAAGGCATCTATAAGTTGGAATTTTGACTTAATAACTTTAAATTATGGGTAGTTATGGGGTAAGGGGGATAGGGGTTAGGCTTTTATAGCTATGATAAAACAAACAATGCATATATCTTAGGGTGATGTCACAATGGAGAACACTGCCCCCTTTAGTTAACTACACGTTTATTGGAGTTTAACCAGGTTCTATTTCAGTTTACAGCCCTGTTTTCCCCTCTCCTACTGAAGGTTGTTTGTGAAATACATGTCTGGGTTGGTGGAAGGACAAAGTTAGGGTGAACACGTATTATATTCAGCAGACTCGTCTGTCTCGACGAGTTTATCGGTTGGCTATCAATGTAGCGGTTGAAGAGTCCGTGAAAAGACTACAAGGAATCCCAGAATGCACCTCACGTGCGTCCGCTGAAATGGAGACAAAGTGTCCTCGTGCGGAACTTTAGACGAGTTCTTAAAATCTTCTATCTCTCGTTACAGAATTATCGAATTGACTTTTTTTCATGGAGATAAAATAGCATTAAGACATAATATAAAACACAAAGTTATAATTTTCAAAACCTGTATGTCTGTTAATCTCACGGTTGAAGCCAGCTTTACCGGGTGGGTAACACGGAATGTTGACAGTGTGACGCCAGACTCGGGCAGTAGAAGCCGCTCTCTGTGTTCAGAATTTGTCTTATATTTCAGCTCCATCTAAACATTTGGATTTCAGCCAACCTAAATGAGTTTCAGGGGTGACAGCGATGATGACGACAGCTGCAGTAAACGAAGAGTCGCGTATGTTTACGGTCCGGAGTACATCCAGACCTGCGACACTTTATCCAAAGTGCCAAACCGGGTGAGTTGAACTGAATGAGAGGCGTTACAGAGCTAGTTAGGTAGCAACCTTTTCCTAATCTGGAAAACGATATCCTTGTCTTTACCTCTGTTACCAGGCGAGTATGGTCCACTCACTGATAGAAGCCTATGGACTGCTTCAACACATGAGGTGAGCTGCTGGTGTTTGCACCGAGAGAGAACACAGTTGGTATTGTTTTTGTCAGTGAGCAGGAGAGGATGTACAAAAGACACACTGTGCAAGATGAAGGTGGGTGGATCAATCCAAATATCAATAGTATCGCTACCAAAGCTAGTATTTGTATCGGATCTATATAAACATTTGCATTGTTGCACAGGAGTAGTGGGAGAGGATCAGCGATTTATAACTAATGATTAAAGCAGCAGAGTGCTGTATAAACACACTGAGAGTGAAAACAGGTGAGTAAAGAAGAAACATTTAGTCTGTCAGGAGAAGCCCCAATCACCCTTGGCCTATTGCAGCATAACTAAAGCAGGAATCAGGGAATTATTAAGATGTTGGTCAAAACTGAGAACACTGTCCAAAATGATGCCAAAATTCCTGACTTGCTCACTGTGAGAAAGGGATGATAACAAAAACCTCCTGAGACAAAAGTTTTACTATTGCTCGGCAACAAAAGAAATCACTAGGAGGTTTCTGGTGCAGCATCTTCTTTCACCCAGCGAGAGCCAACAACCTCCGTAGTAACCACTGGTTGTGTCACATCTACTATGGTGGACAGCCCTAAAAACAATGTACGTGTGAAGTACAAATAAAACTTGTGTTCTTTCATTTATAGTCATTTACAAATGATGTTACCGGTTTAGCTCAGTGCATTAAGTGGGCGAACACATGCCGTACAGCTAAGAGTGGCTAGTCCGAGTTCGAGTCCAACCCGTGGCCCTGCCTGTTTTACCCCTTCTCTGTCTGCTCCTGCTTTCCTGTCCATTTCTTATGTCTGTTTGTCACTGCAGTGTCTCTGTTGTTAAATCACTCTTTCTCTCTACTCTCTCCAGCATTGTCAAACCCCACGTGGCCACTATAGAGGAAATGGCCAAATTCCACACTGATTCCTACCTGGAGCATCTCCACAAGATCAGCCAGGACGGAGACAACGATGACCCCCAGTCGGCTGACTACGGCCTGGGTGAGCAAAACACATTGCTACCTTTTTATTATTTAATCTTTAATGTGTTAAACGCACACACTTTCAGTGCAGTATGGTGTCATTGGGTTTCTGGTTTAAAGCACAGCTGCCTTTTTCCTGTATGACTAAAGTGATGAAGGGGTTAATTGATCATTACCTGCAATATTAAAGCAGCTGTAGTACAAAAATGGAAATAAAGGGGTTAAAATGATTTCACCAGTAGATGGCGATGTAACACTGCACTTAATAACACTGACAGCGATCATAAATGTTCTCCTCAAATAACATTTTTTTCTTTTGTTTGAGACACAAGTGCTTAAAAAAAATCTAAGGGTATGTTTGTTGATCTTGTCCCACTCCTAGGATCCCACTGTTGTTTGTTGTTCTTGGATGGGTTGTATGTTAGTCCATCCTTTTCCGAAGTTTACATTTCTAACTTTAGACTAAGCTTCAAGTTCACTCTGCTTGTTTTTGTTCCATGACATTCCCTTATCCTTTATCTTTCTCTCACCCTCTCTTTTTTAACTCAGTAAAGTTCTCATTCAAGGACTTGAGTTACCCTTCAGACTTCAGTGCGGTTTAAGGCGCAAATATCAGGCAAAGTTTTGTGCTTTTGTGTGTCGTCGTAAAATCCACTGCATGCATGCATGTACCGCGAAGCATTATATTAGGTGCCTGTTGAAGTAACTCGGTGTTTATTAGTGGCGTTTCAGTGTCACCTCTTACTGGCATGCATCACTAGGGTCACATGTGCTGCAGACCTAACCACATCCAGTTAAGACACCGCAAAGTGACCAATCAGTTCCTTGGAAAATAGTGTTACGATTCCTGGAAAAGCTGGTCATATGAGACTGATAAGCCCTCGATTAACTTATCGAGTTGATAACCATCTGCATGTGACTTTTGACAGGAGCAGACACTTCCCCCAACCAGCTGTACGGTGAGGGGAGGAAGATGGGGGGGAAAAAGACACACTGTGGAAGAGAGCCACTGGTAGATAATAACTAATGATTAAATACAGAGTGGTGTATAAACACATAGTGAGTAAAGAAGAAACACAGTGCATTGTGGGAATACCCCAGCAGCCTTGGCCTATTGCAGGGTAACTAAGAGAGGATTCACCTGATCCAGCTCTAACTATAACCTTTATCAAAAAGGAAAGCTTTAAGTTTATCCTAGCTGTCAGATCCCTGACAAATTAACATGCGCACTGCGAATTGGTTTTGCCTTTTTTTTTTTTTTAAGTATTTATTTTTTAAATCCCTCATCTTCCTCTCGCCTGCTGTATTTTGTCCCGCCAGGCTATGACTGTCCAGTGGTCGAGGGCATATTTGACTATGCAGCAGGAGTGGGGGGTGCTACGCTGACGGCAGCTCAGACTCTGTTGGACCAAAAGTGTGACGTGGCCATCAACTGGGCAGGAGGGTGGCACCACGCCAAGAAGTAGGCTAACACACTTTAGTGTGCTGTGACCTTCCTGTGTGCTGCATTACATGTGCATATAGTGTCTCCCAGCAGGCTGTCCTCCTGACCCATGCCCTCCTTCTGCACCTAAACCAGCTTTAGACGAGCACTTGTTCAGTCAGTACTTGTCAGTTTAAGAACAGAGACAGTGTTTGGTGGATAATGTGACTTTATTTATCCACTCAGAACAAAATCTTTTGGCTATGTCCTTTTAATCGTATCTGTAGACAGTAATAGCCCATTAATGTGTGCCGATGTGATGTAATCGCACTGTTGTCTCCCCCCGTGACAGTCACATAAATGCCCGTGAAGGCAGACTTGCAGTTGGATTATTTGTCACTCATGAGGGTGAGAACGGCGAGCATAAATAGAGCCCCAAGCAGCCAGTTTCCCCTCTCCACTCAAAGATCTACTGTAGGAATCACTGTTTAGATAAACTATATCTGCATAAACCTTTAGAGACATTACACACTGGTCACCGAACAGTCGTTGTTGTGCTTATGTCAGTCACTCTGGCTTAACTGATCCAGCTGTGATCCGGTGTTTCAGGGCTAGACTCAGAATTTGTTAAACCATCAATTTCCATCAGTTACATCAAATAGCCTGAAGAGGGTGCTCTTGACAAAGCAGTACATTTCAAACGTGGCGCTTCATCTTCATCTCTCTTATCGTCCAGGGATGAGGCTTCAGGCTTCTGTTACGTGAACGATGCCGTGCTGGGAATCCTCAGACTGAGAGAGAAATACGAAAGAGTCCTTTATGTGGACGTTGACCTGCATCATGGAGACGGTGCACACCAAACCGTGACTTTTGCACAATTTAAAATAAGCGTCTTTTACATTTTGTCATCCTCACAGCAGTTTTTTTGGTTCCAGGTTTTAAAAGCTCTTTCCTCCCCTTTGGTCTCTGCAGGTGTTGAAGATGCCTTCAGCTTCACATCCAAAGTTATGACCGTTTCACTGCACAAGTTCTCGCCCGGGTTCTTCCCAGGTCAGGCAATACAGTGAGCTTAACCACGGCATGCTTTAATATGCCAATTTGAATCATGAGACCGTGTTGGATAAGTTTGTGCTTGCTTAGGTACGGGTGACCTGTGTGACACCGGGCTGGGTAAAGGCCGCTGGTACGCTGTGAACGTCCCGCTGGAGGACGGCATCAAGGACGACAGATACTACCAGGTTTTTACCAGGTACACACACAGAGAAACTGTAGCGCTGTCCTCCTATATAACTCCAACAGATCAGAGGTCAGTGTCATCCATTGATGAGTGCTATGGAGCATGTGCAAGTTCAGCATTTTATCAGGGACACTTTAGCAGGGAAATCCTTCCATTGTGAGGCTTAAACTGGGGATTTTCTAGTTGAAGGAGTTTCTCTGTGCTGAGCACTCAATGCAAATGTGTCGCCTCTAAAAGGAAATAAAGGGCTAAAACCCCTTGTTTGTTCTCTCTATCTCAGCATCTGTATATCGCAGATTCTGTGATCTTGAACAGGAGGAGCTGAGTTTGTTTCCTCTCAGCTGCTTATAAATCCTTAAAATCTGTATTTGAGCAAAAGAGCAAAAAAAGTGTAGGCGGTGTTTTTTTTCTGGGTTTTTTTGGCAAGCACCAAGCAGCAATCATCTCAGCTCTGTGTGTGACTGCTGGGATCATTCCAGGAGGTTTTTTTTGTTTTGTTTTTTTAATGGAGTGGCACAAGAGTAAGACAGAGGGGTCTCAGTGGAAATCAGACATAAACAGAGTGTAGAAAATTAGCATAGAAAACACTGGATGTGATTTTCAGGCCCATGTGCCCTCACACACGTAATGCTACAGTTACGAAACAGGAATTTAGGCTTTCTTTAGTACAACTCATAAAAACACTTAATTAGTCTAATAACACTAAAGTTACAGCATCAAAATAAACTTACAAATAGTCATTATAAACAATTGAATACACAAGGTTATTGGGTTATAATTATTCATTCTATAATGTTTATGTCAGTTTAATGGTGAGAGATCATTTTATTTGACTATGTGCTGCTTTGTTGGGTTAGCTTTAGTAATGCAGCATCACTGTTATTGTGCAAAAGTCTTGAGTCACCCCTCATTTCTTCATACCGTAAATGTCGGGCTATAAGCCGCTACTTTTTGCACAAGCTTTGAACCCTGCGGCTTTTAGTCAGGTGCGGCTTTTCTATGGATTGTCCGTGATTTTTGTCATATCGTAAGACGATTTGTTTTGTGTGTTCCGCTGTTGTACGGCACTACGTTGCCTGGCGGAAGGATCGGGGTTCAAGAGTGGTATGTTAGTCACATGTCCGTCCGCCAGGCAACGTAGTGCCGTACGAAGTAGCGCGAAAAACAAACTTCAAAGTAGCGCTACGCATTCAGCGGGAGGCGTGGATGATGAGCGGCGATAAACTTGCAAGTTATGCCCAAAAAGCAAGTTATGCCCAACTCCACCGGTGGATTCTGACAGCGTGGAAAAGTGTGAAAACATCCACGATCACCAACGGATTTTGAAGGGCTGGACTGCTGCATGATGGAGAGGAGGACACCGCCACGGCCCTTCTGAGGGTGTTCGACTCTGACACTGACAACGAGGATTTCTTTGGTTTTGAAAGTGACAACGAAGGAGAGAAGAAGAGTGGATGACGAAGCCATCCTGAGCCTGTTCGTTTCCGACATTGGAGAAGAGGACTTTGGTGGTTTTAGAGGCAGGAAGAAGAGAAAGATGGTGGTGAATGACTGACTTTTCTTCTTGTTAAAGCTGTGTCACTGCACCTGAGCCTAAAAGGTAGTCCGAATCTATTTTTCTGGTGTGCTGTAGGCTACTGTTATGTACTACATGTGCAAATATGTACCCATAACTTGTTTTTCAAGATTTTAATAAAAGTGATGTCTCCAAACAGCCATCTCTTTCCTGACAATTCCCTTTGTGCATATTCTCTTACATATGATAAGTCAACATTGAAACACCTGCGGCTTTTGGTCAGGTGCGGCTAATGTATGTACAAAACAGGATTTTCCCCTGATTTTAGCTTGTGCGGCTAATATTTAGGTGCGCTTTGTAGTCCGGGAAATACGGTAGTTTACTTCTAAGGAGCATTTCTTGTCAGGCTTTCTGAAAGTCTTTCAATGTTTTTCTTTTATCGGCTGCTTTTTCAGTTATTTTCAGTCTAGTCCATTTTCAGAAGATTGTTTTTTGTTGGTTAAGTCAGTTTAACACTGTACTACGCATCATTCAGGCATAAAAAATGGTAAATGGCCTGTATTTGTATAGCGCTTTACTTAGTCCCTTAGTCCCACAGCCACCCTGGAGTGCACTGAAAGAGGCGAGGCTGCCGGACACTGGCGCCACCGGGCCCTCTGACCACCACCAGTAGGCAACGGGTGAAGTGTCTTGCCCAAGGACACAACGACCAAGACTGTGCGAGCCGGGGCTCAAACCGGCAACCTTCCGATTACAGGACGAACTAACAACTCTTGAGCCACGATAAAGCACATCATTTGTTCCTTCGCCTATGAAAAATGTCAAATATAACAAAGTGATTCCCAGAGAGCTATTAGATTAAAGAATCTTACCATATTTGTGCATTGTGTGCAGTTTCCTCAAAAACAAACTGAGGAAACCTAAAAAAGCATGTAGTACATACAATAGATGAACAGTAACAGTGCAAGTCATGTCCTTAACAAAACAAGACCTGACAAAACCTGGAGAACTGTTCCTGAAAACTGCTTTTTATCCTTGTTGTAATTTCATGGTTGCGGATCAGCCGGCATCTGTGAGCTGATGGTGATGGAAATTAAAATTGCTCTATTACACAGCGTCGACTTCTAATGGGTGAAACTAAAGTCTTTTCTTGTAAAGTAACTAATGCAAGTGACTGAAAACTTATCCCATCCATCCACTTCCACTTCTCAAGTTCAAGGTCATGTGTGGGTGCAGGGGTCATAGGGCAAAAGGTGGTGTACATCCTGGACAGGTTGCTGGTCTTTCATAGGTTTAACACAGGGAGACAAACACTTGATACCTAACCTAACAAATGCATGGGTTTAGACTGTGAAAGAAAGCTGGAGTACCCGGAGAGAGCTGGGGAGACTGTGCAAACTCCACAAAAAAGACAGCGTAGTGCTCCAGCTCTGTGAAATAATGAGTAAGCTGCATGTAGACTAATACTTCATTACTTTTATTGGTATAATCACAGGCTACTGCTTTAGCACCTCTAATTGGTGGAAGCAACTGAACAAATTGGGTGTAAGTGTTTTGTTTTAGTGTTCTACACTTACTATAAAGTTATTATTGTTCAGAACGGAATGTACAGGTAAGTCACGTTAGCCATCACTGCTTGAGTGCCAGGAAGGTTTTTGTTGGCTCAAAAGGCCCCTATGGTAGTGACTATGCACATAAGCTCAATTAGTCACAGAAGTCTATACATTTTCCTGAATTGTTTTCTTTTTTGGATGCTTGATAACCAAATGATATGCATCCTCTGCGAGTAACAGAATTCTTTCTTCTTTTTACAGCGTCCTGCAGGAGGTGCGGGCACAGTTCAACCCGGAGGCGATAGTGATGCAGCTGGGTGCCGACACAATGGCGGGTGACCCTATGTGCTCCTTCAACATGACCCCTGTTGGGGTGGGCAAGTGTCTGCAGTATGTCCTGCAGTGGCAGCTACCTACACTCCTGCTGGGCGGAGGTACGCTTCACGTATGTGTTTATTATTCTGACTGATGTTGATGTGTGTGTGTTGGTATATCTCCACGTATGGCTGTATGCGCATGTTTCTCGGAGTGCTGAGGTAGTCCAGATGTAACGGTGTAGTGCGCCTTCTGTTTGTGCGTGTTTGCGTTGAATTTCTGAGTCCGTTACTTAAGCACATTTACACACACTGCCCTGTCCCAGACTCCTCAGCCCTTGGCCAGATGATAGCTACTAATTATACAACACAATGAATCCATTTTACTCAACTACAATCCCACCTCTCTTCCTTTCTCTCCCCTCCCGCTCTGCCCTACATACTTTCTCCTCAGTCCATTCCCTCCATCTTTAAACTTTCTCTGTGTCTTCTGTATGTGGGAGGCTTTATAGTTTTTCTTCCAGAGGATTTTGTCATGTTAGCTTCCTTTTTTTGGTCTGAAGAGCCACACAAAGCTGTATAAATGTGAAAGTACAAATGAGCTCTTATTGCACACACATTCAACTGACCACAAGAATGAGCTGGTTCAGGTCAACAAAAGAATAGACTGTGTACAAAAGCTGCTCATACCCACATGGACAAACATAACTGCTAATCAATGCTAAATAAAAGAATAAATAAGTACTCAGATTTCATGCACTTTGACAGATAAAAAAATTAGAAATTGAAATACTTCAAAACAGCAGCACAAACAGTGCAACTTTAACAAGAAAAAAAACACCCTCCATACATTTGTTCTGTGGCACACTGTAAACATGTTTATGTCAGCTTTTATATGTAAAGTTAACATATAGTATAATATTAGTAGTATTATAGTTTTATATGTATACCGGTAGTTAACATAGGCATCTTCAGAGATGGTTAGTCGGCCTCAAGTGGCCATTAGAGAAACTGCAGTTTGGACACATAATTAGAAACAGGGTATTTGATAGGTTAGTTTAGTTTTTTAATCTAAAATTTTCTCCCAGACATGTTTTTTTATCCTCTGTGATTTGACATGGTAACCTATGGTTATTTACACCTCAAGTGGCCATGGGAGGAACTGCACTTTTTGGCACTTGTGAGAGTTGGCTTAATTTTTCACTGCTTTGAAGTTGAAGGTTACTGGCATTTTCTCACACTTCATGACTTGGTAACAGGGGCAGATGTAGAGAAATTTTCTTAGGCTGGCATGGAAATCAAATGGCAGGACAAAATCAAAGCCTTTTTTTAAACACATGTGCATGTGTTACGTATGGTAAAAATGATTCAAATGCAAGTATACATGCATTTCATATAAAAATAGTCTGCAGCTTAATTAATTTCTGTAGCCCACATAATGAACCTTTTCAGTTACATAATACATGTGATTTTTTTATGTACTGTATAGCCTGTATAATAAATAAATACATATAAAAGCATTTAGTGGCCTGTCATTAAAATTTAAAAGCTGGTATATACTTTGAAGTCCAAACTTTCAACACAAGCTGAAATAGTTGTGTTGAAAGTAACACTCTAAGCTGCAGCTTGTTGCTATGTCAGCTTAATCACATGCCCGTCATCACACAGAGTGTTAATAACACTCACCTTCATTCCACCTTCAAAGTGTTAATGCTATCTTATCTTAATAAACAACACAGTCATATGCAAAACTAGTTTGGCACTAGGGGTGGCAAGAGATCATTTTAGGGTGGCACATGCCACCCCTCTAGATGTGCCCCTGCTTAGTAACCTGATGACAGTGTACGACCTCTTATTGGGGGCATTTTCACATTCTATATTCAGTTTTTACCCCTTAGCCGTTAAATGCTGATCGGGTATCTTCAGCGTAGACACCCAAGTTTGTGATTAAAATAACTAGATAGGTGGCTGAGAACAAAGCAACGCATGATTTTCAAATTCATCCCATACGTGGAACCACTAAAAATCTCAGATAAGTTAGAATCCCAATTACCTTTGCTTCAAGGTCGAGGTCAGAGGTTAGGTTTTCTGAAAATCTTGTGAATATCTCGTGATAACTCAAGAGGGAAATCAGCTAGGATTTTCAAATTATAACCACAGGTACATCTACTAGGAGGCTGAGCTGTAACACTGATGGACGCCGGTACTTTTAATATAGTAGGTACTGTATGTGACACATTGTGGTTAATTGAATCAGTAGGTTTAATAGCTGTTCTTAATTGTGTCAAATATTTTACTGTTAGGTAATGCCTGAGACACCATGTTATATTTTCCCGTCTGTTTGTTGCTGGGTTAGTGGAGATCTTTTCTGACTCCTGCCAAGGAAACATGTTGCTTCACAGATGATTTATGTTTTGAATTATGTAAGACATGGTTCTGTTTGGATATCATTGTCATTGGTCGTAGTCATGTGACCTATCACAGGTGATTTAAGATGGCGTCGCCCTGTGTTTCGTTGTGTGACGAGGAGCAGGTGTGCTCAAAATGTCATATGTCATGAAATTGGAGTTCTGCAGCATGCAAACTTATTTTTCTTTTTTCTTTTAAAAGCTTACTGTGGCCTCAGGAAAAAACACATTTTTGGCCACAACCAAACTCGTTCACAAATACAAATAAGTTCGGGGATGAACTGATTAGATTTCGGATGCTAAATGGTAAAGCTCACAGCGACTTTACATGATACATCACTCAAAAAACAATAACTCTTGTGATATCTACATACAGCCCCCAAACATCAATATAGCAAAGGAAACTAACAGTTGCTCAAAATGGATTTCCCCACTCGTTTAACTTAATAGAGTATATATATTTTATATTATTTTATTTATTTTTTTACAGATAAACAGATGTTGTGCTGTATCCTGTGTAAAGTAATGAAGTGATTTTATTTTATATGGAAAATGTCCAGTCTGGACAGACAAATTATTAACAATACAAAGGATTTAAGTTTTATTCCAGTGAAAGAACAGCCAACACAGTAGGGTCAGTAAAGTCTTTGTATATTTTCTCTACAGGAATCATGTTCTTCAACTTCGTTTGACCCCATATGTTTTTTTCCTCTTGTCATCCCATCCTGCAGTGTGGGTCTCTTTCCCACCAGTCAGGCCCGCCCTGTAGTTTGAGATTCAAACTGCTTTAAGAAAGTGTTTGAAGGTTTAAGTGGAGGATTAAACAACAGTTTAGCAGCACACACATGCTGAGGCACAACCATCATTTCCCTGGGCAAACTGTGTTGTCACAAATGTGACGGGCAGTAGTTTAAAGCTGGTGCATTCAGTTTGGAGGGGAAGCTTCTGGATTGCTCTACACACTGAAACATGACAAGATGATCCTTGATTAAGCAAGAAAAACATAAAATTCAGTTTGATGGAAGAGAAATGTGTAGACTGGAAGTTTTATTTCTGACAAAACTGATTGGTTTAGATTTAATTAATGAGCAATAAGTTGTAGATTCCTGCTAAACAGGTAAAGTTGTATCAAGTCAAACACTTGCTGGCTCTGCTTTATTTTAACTTCAGATTCAGCTTCATTGTCACATCACAAATTTACAAAGAGTAGGGTGAAAAACCTTGTGTTGCAGAGCTCCATATTAGCAGATAAAAATGTAAAAAAGCGCACAATACAAGCATATTTTAGATATGTGCAAAACACAGAAGAAAAAGAGCAAATGACCCTATAATGAACCCTGGGGAGCTCCAGTGTGACAGTCAGCCTGGCCAGATGTGATGTTAGGCCTTCTCTTTCTGTTTACGATTTTTCACCTGTCTATGCAGTCTTCACCAGTTTTTCACTGACAAAAACAAATGTGGAAAAACAGTAGGGGTGCAAGATAAACTAGCATTCCTGCAGATGCAGTTATATCATGCTACGATTTAAGGATCAGTCCAGCTGTCAGGAATATCGTCCTGCTCCTGTTTTCTCTCATTTAAAAGACAAAGATGGAGCAGTGTAGCCATGCATACACACGTACATCAGCTTCAAAGCATGCAGATGTCCGGGCATGAATTGGGCATGCCCGGACACATCTGTGTTACAGGTGTCTGTCACACGTGCCGTGAAACTTTTTTTTTTTTTTATAATTCAAGTATTTATTAGATTTCGCATTTTATAGCAGCAAATACAGAGATGCAACAACCAAAAGCAAGAAGCAAACAAACAAAAACAAACAAACAAAATAAATAAATAAATAAATAAAAAATAAATAAAAAACCACAACGAAACAAAACAAGTGAGGTTTTAACATATGTTGTATTAAGCTCAAATGTCCAAGTCAGGTAGACATGTAGGTGCAAAAATTGTCCCACTGTTCCAGCGCAGCTTCCGTCACATGATGTATTTTTCCCAGCATCTTTTCGTATACAACATTCCCAATCATTCTGTCTTTCCGCATTTTAAGCGTTGGAATATGAGAGTCCTTCCAGTGTTCCAAAATGACACGGGCACATGTTACCAAGGCAGTACTTAACACTCTAAACTGGTGTTTACTTAATTGCAGCACCTCTCCTTTGTCTCCTAGTAAACATAATTTAGGTGATCTGGGTAGGTTACAAAGTGTCCACCCCTGCAAATAATTCAGTACAGTGTTCCAAACTGGAAAAACCAGCAGGCATTCCCAGAGGGCATGTATCAGAGTACCTTTGGCTTTTTGGCATTTCCAACACAAGTCATCTCTACCAATCCCCATTCTATACAGCCTTGAAGGAGTATAATAGTATCTGTTAAGAATTTTGTATTGAATAAATTTCCCCCTGGCTTCCCTAATGTATAATCCATTGTTCGACAATATAGAATCCCATGTACCTTCATCCATTGTACCCCCTAGATCCCTTTCCCATGCTTTTTTCAGGCTCTTATTTATATTGTTTTTAATCCATGGGCAAATATTATACCATTTCGCAGCTGTGCACAGAGATGGGGGTAGTAGCATAAAATTCTCTATCGGGTTACTTTCACATGTTATTGTAACTCCTCCTTTTAAACAGTTTCTTATTTGCAAATACTTCCAGAAATGACTGTTACCCTCTAAACAAAACTTATTTTTAATATCCTCATACGACATGAAAACACCCCCTTCAAATAGGTCTCTAACAGTTCTGATACCTCTTCTCAGCCATTGTGTCCAGTAAACAGTCTGCTTACCAATTTTAATTTTAGGATTATACCACAAGGGGGCATACTTCTGTACATATGGCACAAGTTTATATTTCTTATGCACCTCCAACCATACCATTTTCGAAAATTTCAAAATAGGGCTTTGCGTCTTACCGTGATTATTCACTTTTTGTGATAAAATATCATTTGGTGTGAATGGAGATGCAAGCTCTTGTTCTATTAACATCCAGTCTATATTGTTTTTCCCTGCCCAATGTTTGCCTAATCTAGCCATTTCAAAAGAGATACTATAATACTCTATATTTACCACCCTTCCAAAGAAAATCTTTTATCGTATTATTGTAGCTTTGCAACATCCGTCGCGGGATACACATAGGCAGCATTCCTGTATAATAGTTGATGAGCGGTGCCACAACCATTTTAACTGTGTTCACTTTTCCCCACAATGTCAAATTTAGTTTACTCCATTTACCCAAGTTTTTATTGATCTTGTTTAATAATTTTCCCATACTGTTAGCCACAATATCCTCAATATTGGGGTTCAATTCAATTCCAAGATATTTCATTCCCTTGTCCACCCACTTAAAGTTAAAGCCCGATATTAAGTTATGACTGCAAGCCTGGGAAACTGGCATCGCCTCTGATTTATGCCAGTTAATTTTGTACCCTGAAAACATTGAGTATGTATTAATCACCTCTAATAGTTTTGTGATAGAATTAGTTGGGTCTTGGTTTAATTTCAGCACATCATCTGCATACAGGAATAATTTGTGTTCTCTGCCTCCCCCAAATACACCTTTAATCTCTGCATTTTCTCTGATTTGAATAGCTAATGGCTCTAAAAATATTATAAATAGCAATGGGCTTAAATTGCATCCTTGACGTGTTGATCTGGAAATACTAAAAAAAAGGAGAAAGTACCCCATTTGTAAATACAGCTGCTTCTGGACCAGAGTACATGGTTCTAATCCATCTGCAAAAGTTGTATTCCAAACTTTTCCAGGGCTGTGAACAGAAAGTTCCACTCCACCCTATCAAAAGTTTTCTGTGCATCTAAAGATATAGCCAATACAGGATTTGTGTTATTTCTATTCAGCCACACGTGCCGTGAAACTTAAGTGATGTTGTTCAGTTGATGCCTTGATGTACCTCCTGACTACTTTGTCTTTGTAAAAGGAGCAATTTTTGCTCCTCTAACTGTAAACCAACTTTACTCTGATTGGCTACTCATCAAAAACGCAAGGTTTGAGCAGCTGTAAATGTTTAAAAGTTTCAAATTCATATTTAATAGTCTTCAGGGCTCCAAACGTGCCTTCATGTGGGTTCCAGGTACTCCATAAAGATGATATCATTTGTGTTTCTTCTCATATGTGTCTGCGTTCCTTCTCTCTACTCAGGAGGTTATAACCTGGCTAACACAGCTCGGTGTTGGACCTACCTGACAGCAGAAGTGCTGGGAAAGACTCTCTCCTCTGAAATACCTGACCATGAGGTACACGGACACACACACTCACACACATCCTCCCTTTCCCTGCCTGTTACAGCCACACATTTACATATTCCCACATGAGGACAAATGTGCCCCTTCATTGTACCATCACACGCACACACATGCATGGAAACGCAAACACACCCTCTTGTGTCCTCTGTCTGCTGAGTCACTCCATCTAATCAAAGATGGCTGCCCGATCTCAATAAAGGGGTTTGTGTACAGGTGAGCGGGACAGGTAGCAGTGCTGACAATTCCTCTCTGTCTGCTGCGATGAACACAGACTCCTCTCACTCTCATCTTTTATGCGTCGTCTGGGTGAACGTTATTAGAGGAGTTATAGAAGTCGGACTGGAAGGACTTAAACCGCAGCTTTACCTGTCCAGTTAGTTCAAAAGGGTGGACGTCAGCGAGGATTCTTAAAATAGCGAGAACACATATGCTGTTGATTTAATTTAGCGAGGAAGGAACTGTGTATCTTATTTGTTGACTTGTTTGTGAAACACGGGACATGTGACCAGTTGCTTTTCGGTAAATCAAACAGAGCCATCCTCTCTCCAAATAGAAATCGGCGCGCCCATCTGTCTGTCCCGCTCCTATGCTCTCACACGCACAAAGAGCCTCTTTCTCCAGCAGCTGATTTTTTGGACCTTGTCTTGGTCAGATGTAATGAATAGCTGTGAGCGCCTCAGTGTGTGCGTGCGTGCGTGTGCACGCGTGTGTGCGTCCTGGTCGAGAAGAAGGTACCTCTTGTTTCTCCTCGTCGGGCGTCCAATGGCCCCAAATGGCCTTTGACCTCATTAAGGAGCACTCACTGAAAACAAAGCAACTATCAGTGCGGCCAGCTGCCACAGTTGATAAAGATGAGGTGACACACACACACACACACACACACACACACGGTTTTCCACCTGAAACAGTTAAAATTTTATTGTGTTTATGTCTTGGTTTTTTCTGATTTATGAAGCAACCTATTTTCAAGGTAAACTGCAACCTCTGCTAAACTTCACATATATGTGTGTATGCATGTATGTATGTGAATGCATATGTGTGTGTGTTTGAAGCTCACTCTGTGTGCGATAAGAGGGGCATTTATCCACGATGACCAAGCAGAGCTGTTCCAGTTCCAGTGACACGGGGAACAAAAACTACCTTTGTGCCCGTTTGTGTGAGTGCGTCTTACTCCTCCTGCTCCGCTGTAGACAAAACCCCATGAATACACACATTCATTACTGTCAGATAATGCACTGGCCTGTTTTATAACGCTTCTCATGTGCTTCATTGTATGATAAATGGACGCCAGTGTGGAGGAAACTCAAACAGGCAAACTGGCAAAAGTGGCTCAAAGTCGAAGGAAAATGCAAAAACTACAAATTCAAACACTCTGTTTGTTTTATCTGCAGAAATCTCACTAAAACCAGTCCGAACATATTTGTTGCTTTTAAATATTTATTTGGAAAGGTTTATTTTCAGTGCCCGAGAGGATTCGCGGTGCTCTGTTCTTGCAGCACACAAGCTTCAAATGAAATAATTAAAAATAGCAGTCTAAAGAACACAAACATCAGTCAGAGTTGGCCAGTCACGTCAACAATAAGTGCTGTAATACTCGCTGATTACTAGACAAAATATTACACTACAGATAACGCACACAATGCCTCTGCTTGTGTCACACTCATTATATTTCAGTATCTAATGCAAACACGCCAGGATTCCAGCCACCGGGTGGAAAGTTGTTAACCTTCGCTGCTGACTCGTATTGTCTGCCAGTGCTGAGCTGATCCCGATTGACCCCCCCTCTCCCCCCCATTGTGCGATAGCGGCGGCTCCTATCTGCGTGTGAATCGAAGGAGCCGCGGTGTTGGGCGTGCTAAGTATAGCCGCACGGGTCAAAGGTTAGTTGGTGTCTCTCATTTGACAGGAACAGTTTGTCTTTATAACGAACTTTATTTTGAGGGTGGAAACAATTGTTCTTATGGTTACAGGAACTTTTTATTTGTCACATGTGATGTTCACATGGTTTTGCTTTGCCTGTTAGACCAGATTTATTATCTTTAATTTAAGGCGGGGTGGAGTATCATCTTATCTAAACATGTGTTATGTCATGAAGAAGGGCAAAAACCACAGTAGGGTCTTTAATACTTCTCTGAATCCCCTTAAAGTAACTTCTGTCACTGGCACGTACACTACGTTTTTAAAACCATATGAACTTAAACATCTCAGACCTGAAGGCCACTCTCCATTTTTAGTTAATAATAAAATACCTTTTTTCAAGTGGTCACATCCACTCCAATGGAAGTGGTTTAATGGAAACTCTCATCTCTCATCATCTCATCTCTCAAGTGTTTCAGTTAAATCTTTTTCAATTAAATTCAACAACAGTCACCACAAGACACTCCACAAATAGTGTTGGGGAACCTTAAAAACCTGGGTCAGCTATAAGAGTCCAAAAGGGTGTTCGACGATCCAACGATCACAAGTAATACATAGACATAAGTGTTGGTCTACACCTGTTAATATTTGAATTCGGGTATTTTCAGTCCCCTTGCCATAGCTGTATGAAATCAAGCACCTAGCCTTCACAGACTTATGTGAGAGAATGGGTCGTTCCCGAGAGCGTGGTACCGTTGCAACAAGTCAAATTTTCTGCCTCTTAGAAGTGGTTCCTTAACATCCTCTGGCATTAACATCTGCACTCAAACTCTGTGCTGGGAGCTTCATGGCATGGTTTTATTTGGCCGAGCAGCTGCTGTGGGGGTAGGTGGTCCAATATTGTGATCCATGTAGATTGCAGGGCAACAGCAGGTGAACCAGCATCCAGATCTGTACCCGGACCTATGATTAGATTTTAATGGACCTTTCTATTTCACTTTGCACAACTTTTCTTTTATTTATGGTTATTTCAATTGATGCATTTGTTTTTTGTCTTTTTAGCACTGACCAATAACTCATCCCGCATTGATCTGTCAATCAAATTATTTATTCAGAGTGCGGATGAAAACGGAGAAAGTCCAAAGAAGTAAATCAGGAAAAAAATAATTACAAAAATCAAACCTTATTTTACTTGTAATGAGTAAAAGAACATTTTATTAATATTTTATAATAATAAAATATAATACTGTTGAATTGTACTTTAGTACTTCAACTTCCAGTTGTTGACTGCATACAGACACTGATCCGACTGTTAGGCCTCTTCAAAATGCATTGCATTGAATTATAATGAATGTATAACTTCATGACATTTTGGATCTTTGTTTGATCTTTAAATTTTAATGGAGTACCTTTGTGTTAGAAGGTATCAGTTTAAGTCAAAGGACTAAGAACTATGCACATTCATTTTAGAGTAATCAATGAATAGTTCTGAGTAAAATAGTCTTTTTTGTGTGTGTGCTTAAAATGCTGCACATAAACCAATATTTATGGTTGTTTTTAACCCTTGGATATATTCACATATCATAGAGGAGTGTACTGCTCCAGTGCTGCTATTGATTTGAGACTAGTTTTGGTGACGGTGACAACAACATGAAGTTGCACAGATTTGGATCAGATCGTTCTCTAAAAACTCAGTGTGTACCATTCAAGGACAGAAACAGAGAAGAGACCCCCCACCCTGCCACCACCACCTTTATTTCTGTTCTTAGTAACTTCCAAACTGCTGAGTCAGTGGGCAAACACGTATGCCATGTCCTCGCAAGGTTGTTGATGTGAATCCAGCTCATATCCTTTGTCACACGCTGTACCTTCACGTCTCCGTTGCTCATCTCTTTTTCCTGTCTCTGCCATGCTCCCATTAAGCTCATAGTGTAACAACAACTGGGCTTGGCTGGATCAGCACCCAGTGTGGGAGGGTGCACTGCCTTACACTGCCTTACTGCGACTGTGGCTCAGGGGGTTGGGAAGCGTATCTGTAACCGGAAGGTCGCCGGTTCGATCCCCGGGCTCTCTGTCCTGGTCGTTGTGTCCTTGGGCCAGACACTTTACCCTACTTGCCTACTGGTGTTGGCCAGAGGGGCCGATGGCGCGATATGGCAGCCTCGCTTCTGTCAGTCTGGCCCAGGGCAGCTGTGGCTACAACTGTAGCTTGCCTCCACCAGTGTGTGAATGTGAGAGTGAATGAATAGTGGCATTGTAAAGCACTTTGGGTGCCTTGAAAAGCGCTATATAAATCCAATCCATTATTATTATTATTATTACATCGGTATTTTGAAGCAAAACCTTGACTTTTAACTCGTTCAATATTTCTGTGTAGAAAAATGTCATCATTGTGCTGAAGGAAGTTGAAAACTGGCCAAAGAATTATTGTATGTTTTTAGAAGGCTAAACCAGATCTGCAGTCCAAAAGCAAGGCCTTTTCTCTCTCCCTCTCTCTCTTTTGACCCTACTGGTCAAATAAGCATATTTATATTATTTAAAGGATATTTTATTTGTCTGGGCAGCAAGCTGCTAAACTGAGACCAACTGGAAAGGGTTTTTTTTTTCTTCAAGTTCATTTTGCTCCTTCTAAGCAACATGCTCCTTAAGAGCTACAGAAGTCTGGAAACAAGTTATCCCGTCATCTCTGTGCAGATAATGGTAACACATGGGTATTAAATTACTAGCAGAGAATACAAACGGATAAAAGTCAGCCAGATTTTTTTTTTCCTTTGGATTGCCCAACAACCTGCTTCGATCAGATTCTTCTCTGGTGAGAGGAACAGAAGTAGATACAAACGTGTGTCCGTCTCAAAGCCGCACAGGAAGGGAGGACATCTCTGGTTCCAGATTGGCAGCGGGGAAGCGTCCCGCCTCTTTACTTCCTACTTCCCCTTTTTCCTGTCTGCAGCCACTTCCTGTCCTGCCCCTCGGTGCCGTCAGGGATGTGCTGGCTCCCAGATTCACAGGCTCAATCACAGGAAATATCACCAAGCAATAGCGTGTGTGGGCACAGGGATATGTATCTGTTTACAAAGACTGACTGAAGAAGCTCATTATTACAATATTATGATTGATTAAGTTCAAAATGCTGC